CAAATTTGTAAAGAAGAAGCCAAGAATCTACAGCAGGATTAATAGGAATCGAAAACATGGCACCTTAGGGTTTGAATGTGTTCCCTAGAGTTCATGTGTTGGGACAAAATAATAGGGGATTAGGTCTTAAGGGCTTTGCTCATGAATGGATTAATGTCATTATTTCAGGAATGGGTTAGTTATTGAAAGACTGGATTTTTTAAAAAATTTATTTATTAGAAAGGCAGAGAGAGAGAGAGAGAGAGAGAGAGAGAGAGGGATCTTCCATCTACTGGTTCACTCTTAAATGGCTGCCATGACTGGGGCTGGGGTAGGCTGAAGCCAGGAGCTTCATCCGGGTCTCCCACATGAGTGCAAGGGTCCTAGCACATGGGCCATCTTCTTCTGCCTTCCCAAGCCCATTCGAAGGGAGCTGGATCAAAAGTGGAGCAAGGGGCCAGCGCTGTGGCATAGCAGCCAAAGCTGCCGCCTGCAGTCCCGGCATCCCATATGGGTGCCGGTTCGAGTCCCAGCTGCTCTACTTCCAATGCAGCTCTCTGCTATGGCCTGGGAAAGCAGTAGAAGATGGCCCAAGTTATTTGGACCCATATACCTGCATGGGAGACTCAGAAGAAGCTCCTGGTTCCTAGCTTCTGGCTCCAGATGAGCCAACTCTGGCGGTTACAGCCATTTGGGGAGTGAACCAACAGATGGAAGACCTCTCTCTCTCTCTCTCTCTGCCTCTCTGTAACTCAGCCTTTCAAATAAACAAATCTTAAAAAAAAAAAAAAAAGAAATGAAGCAACTGGGACTCAAACTGCACCCATATGGCATGCTGGTGTTGCAAGCAGCAGCTATCCCTGCCACACCACAGCACTGGCCCCAGACTGGGCTTCTTATAAATACATGTGAGTTCAGCTTCCTCTTGTTCTCCTGCTTTCTCCCACCCTCTCGCTCTTCTGTTTTCCACCACGGGATGACACAGTAAGAAGGCCTGTGCCGGATGCTGGCACTCTGATATTGAACATCTCAAACTCTAGAGCAGGGATGGGGAACATCCTGCCATGGACCATATAAAGCCGCACAAAATGATTTGGTGTGGCCCTGCCAAGGCAACCATGGATGGGACTTGAAGTTCAATAAATCTACTGCAGGCTAATTTTTAAGTTGATAATTTTGTTTGGCCTGCAGATGATGTTACAAATACCCAAATGGCCCTTGGCAGAAAAATATTTTCCATCTCTGCTCTAGAACTATGAGAAATAAATTTGTTTTAGTTGTAAATTATCAAATCCATGGTAATTGTTAGCATTACAAAATTAACTAAGATATCCATTACTTTTTATTTTCTATTTAATTTTTTTAAAGTTATCTTTGGATTTTTTTTTGACAGAGTTAGAGAGACAAAGAGAAAGGTCTTCCTTCTGTTGGTTCACCCCCTTCACCCCCTAAATGGCTGCCACGGCTGGAGCTACGCCGATCTGAAGCCAGGAGCCAGGTGCTTCTTTCTGGTCTCCCATGTGGGTGCAAGGGTCCAAGCACTTGGGCCATCCTCCACTGCCTTCCTGGGCCACAGCAGAAAGCTGGACTGGAAGAGGAGCAACTGGGACTAGAACCCAGCGCCGATATGGGATGCTGGTGCCGCAGGCGGAGGATTAACCAAGTGAGCCATGGCGCCGGCCCCGTCCATTACTTTTTAAATGTATGAACTTGTTTGTGTTTGAATAGTATGACACCCAATTGCATGAGCACCTGGAATCTTTCCATGTGCCCTTATTTTAAAGGTCATTGCAGATGCAATTGAAATGTAAGTTAAGAAGAGGATATCATCCTATAGTATCATCCAATACTATCATCCTTTTAAGAAGAGAAACACAGATGTACACAGAGAGGAGAATGCGTTGGAGACTAAAGCTATGCTGTCTAGAAACACCGAGAGGCAAGGGAGGATTTTCTCCCCAGAACTTCTGAGAGGAGTATGGCCTGATTACACCTTGATTTTGGACTTTTGGAACCGTAGGAGACAAAGAGTTCAACAAAATGCAAAAAGACCCTAGTTCAGCAGGAATATCGGCAAGGATTATAAACAGTAATCTAATGAAAAGAGGTCAGTTTCACTCATGTACCATACATTTTAAAGTAATCGCAGATATTTAAAACTATAGTAGTAAATCATTCTTAACAAGTTGCTTGACAAAACTATTTTCAGCAATATTGTTACGCACAAGCATTTGCTTGCTTGCTTTTTAAATTTAGCTCTCATATATAAGGGAGAACATGCAGTATTTGTCTTTCTGTGGCTGACATTTCAGTCAACATGAGAGCCTCCAGTTACAACTGGTTTGGTGCAAATTATATAAATTCCATTGTTCTGTATGGCTGAATAACATTCCACGTTTTCTTTATCCATTGCTCCAATGACGCACACCTTGGTCGATTCCATATTGTGACTGTTGTGAACAGTGCTGCTGGGAACATGGTGGTGCGGTGTCTCTGATACAACGTGCTCACGTCTTTTGAGTGTATATTCCCAGTAGTGGGCTTGCTGGATCATATGGCAAGTATTTCTAATTTTTTTTTCCACAGTGGCTGCACTAATTTACTTTCCCACCAGCAGTGTCTATGTGTTCACCTCTCTCCACATCCTTGCCAGTGTTTGTTATCTCTGTCTTTTGGATTTTAGCCATCTGACAGGGGTGAGGTGATGTCTCATTATGGTTTTTTTTTTTTTTTTTGGCAGGCAGAGTGGACAGTGAGAGAGACAGAGAGAAAGGTCTTCCTTTTGCCATTGGTACACCATCCAATGGCCGCCGCGGCAGGCGCACCGCGCTGATCCGATGGCAGGAGCCAGGTACTTATCCTAGTCTCCCATGGGGTGCAGGGCCCAAGCACTTGGGCCATCCTCTACTGCACTCCCGGGCCACAGCAGAGAGCTGGCCTGGAAGAGGGGCAACCGGGACAGAATCCGGCCCCCGACCGGGACTAGAACCCGGTGTGCCGGTGCCGCAAGGCGGAGGATTAGCCTATTGAGCCACGGCGCTGGCCTCATTATGGTTTTGATTTGTTTTTCCCTGATGGATAGTGATGTTAAAACATTTTTTTCATGTATTTTTTGGCCATTTGTATTTCTTCTTTTGAGAACTGTCTATTAAGGTCCTTTGCCTATTTCTTAACTGGATTGGTTGTATGTTTATTGTTTAGTTTTCTGAGTTGCTGATATATTCTGGACATTAATTCTTTGTCAGATAAGTAGCTTGCAAGTGTTTTGTTTTTCCTACATTCTGTCAGTCACCTCTCTACTCTGTTGATTGTTTCCTTTGCCGTGCAGAAAATTCTGAGTTTGATGGAGTCCCATTTAGTTCAGTGTTGCTTTTGGGGGTCTTGTCCAATGTCATCACCTACACCTACAGTGTCTTGGAGTGCTCCCCATATTTTCTTCCTGCAACTTCATAGTCTCAGGTTTTAAATTTAGGTCTTTGATCAATGTTTAATTGATTGTATGATGAGAGGTAGGGATCTCATTTCATTTTTCTACATACATATATCCATTTTTGCCAGCACCATTTGTGCTCTAATATATAGTCCAGGCACTTCTGTCAAAAATCAGTTGGCTTTATGGACATGGATTAATTTTCTGGATTCTGTATTCTGCTTTATTGATCTGTGTGTTGGTTTCTAGGCTAGTAACATGCTGGTTTTTTTTTTTAAGATTTATTTTATTTATTTGAAAGTCAGAGTTACACAGAGAGAAGAGAGGCAGAGACAGAGAGAAAGAGAGAGAGGTCTTCCATCCACTGGTTTACTCCCCAGATGGTCACAATGGCCAGAGCCGCGCCAATCCAAAGCTAGGAGCCAGAAGCTTCTTCCAGGTCTCCCACGCGGGTGCAGGGGCCCAACCACTTGGGGCATCTTCCACTGCCTTCCCAGGCCATCACAGAGAGCTGGATTGGAAGATGGGGCAGCCGGGACTCAAACCGGCGCCCATATGGGATGCCGGTGCTTCAGGCCAGGGCATTAACCCACTACGCCACAGTGCCAGCCCCCATAACATGCTGTGTTAATTACTGTGGCTTTGTGTTATGTTTGGAAGTCAGATATCATTATGCTTCCAGCTTTTTGTTTTTTGTTTTTTGTTTTTTTTTTTTCCTTCAGGATGCCTTTGGCTATTCAGGATCTTTTGTGAGAATACCATTGGTATTCCGACAGGGAGTGCAGGGAATCTGTAGACTGCATTAGTTTCTAGGATCATCTTGTTTACTTACTTAATTTTAAAATTTACATATTTATTTGAAAGAGCTACAGAGTGAGAAGGGGAGAGAGAGAGAGAGAGAGAGGGAAAGAGAGAGAGAGAGAGAGAGTTCCATCCACTGATTCACTCTCCATATGGCCGCAATGGCCAAGACTAAGCCAGGAGCTGAAGCCAGGAGCCACAAAATTCATTCATTATCCCACATGGATGCAGGGACCCAAATACTTGGGCCATCTTCCAGTCTCCCACTGCTTTTCCCAGGCCATTAGAAGGGAGATGGATCAGAAGTGGAGCAGCTGGGACACAAACTAGGGCTTAGATGGAATGCCAGCATTGCAGACAGCAGCTTTACCTGTACAATGCTGGCCTGGTATAGACATTTTAATTATATTAATTCTTCCAGTCCATGAGCAAGGAGTATATTTCCATTGTTTTGTGTCCTTAATGATTTCTTTAATGACTGTTTTATAATTTTTATTGTAGAGATTTTTCACATTTTTGGTTACATTTATTCCTAAATATTTGCTGGTTGTTTTTTTTTTTTTTTTTTTTTTTTGGTGTCTACTGTGAATGAGATTTCATTCTGATTTCTATTTTGGTGAGGTCATCATTAGCATATAAAAAGGTATTGTTTATTATTTATTTTGTATTTATTTATTATTATTTGCAACTCGGTTTACCAATTCTAAAGGCTTTTTGGGGGGATGTTTAGGTGTTTCCACACACAACGACATGCCACCTGCAACATGGGTGTTTGACTTCTCCTTTCCAGGTTAATGCCCTTCACTTCTTTCTCCTCCCTGATCGCCTTTGCAACACTGTATCCAGTAAGAGTGGTGAGCGTGGACATCCTTGCCTCCTTCCAGGTCTGTGGGGAAATGCCTTCAGCTTTTTCCTGTTCAACCTGATACTGGCTGGTGGTTTGCCATCTACAGCCTTTGTAATTTTGAGGTATGCTCCTTCTTAAAGCTGATGTTGAATCTTATCGAATACTTTCTCCACATCTATGGAGATGGCCACGGGACTTTGGTCCTTGGTTCTGTTGATGTGGTTTCTGACCTTTATTTATTTATTAATTTGCAAAGGAAGGCAACGCTTAAGTTTTGTTCTGGAGCTCAATCCTGCTCATTTCAGCAATTACTGCAGCATAATAGAAAGATAAATTTCCATCCATCCTCACCAAGGTACGTAGGAAAGGGAGTTTAAGAATGAAGCAGCAGGCCGGCGCCATGGCTCGATAGGCTAATCCTCCGCCTTGCGGCGCCGGCACCCCGGGTTCTAGTCCCGGTCGGGGCGCCGGATTCTGTCCCGGTTGCCCCTCTTCCAGGCCAGCTCTCTGCTGTGGCCAGGGAGTGCAGTGGAGGATGGCCCAAGTGCTTGGGCCCTGCACCCCATGGGAGACCAAGAATGAAGCAGCAGTGCGCCTTGCTCCGCTCGCGAGGCGTCCCGAGCCTGCCGTCCTGACCGGGTGCCGCAAAGACAGGGTTTGGCTGGGCAAGCTCGGCACTGCCCACCGTGCCTTCCTGATGAGCGAGCCCCAGGGTCACTGTGGCTTCCAGAAGCAGAGGCAGCTGAGGTTTGGCTGGGAAAGTGGGGGCTGCGCGGTTCCCCTTTCAGTCCACACGCCGTAAGAGCACTTGCCACCTGCTGAGGCTGCAGGGGGCCTCTGCTCCGGGCTGAGGTCCTCATTGCCCAGGTGTTGGGCGGAGAAGAGCTCAGGTGTGTTGACCTCTAGAGGAGGAACGCACCAGCAGGATTGTCCTTGATAAAGGAAAGCAGCAAAGCTGTGCACTCACCCTAGGTGAAGAGACTGAGGCCGAGGGACATTAAGGACTGGAGGCAACAGGAGCGCCAGACTTGAAATCGAATTCTAGATTCTCGATTTTGTATCCAAGCACTAGCAGCAAGGAAGAATGCAACAAATTGCATTAGAGTGGTGGCAGGGTCCGGACATATTAAAGACTACAATTGGTGGCAGCCCTGGGCGGTGCCCTTCCCCACATTATCTCATTTAATCCTCTCCGCAATTCAGGAGGGTGAGCACCATTTTCATTACTTCAGTGCGGCACTGACTTTTACTGCAATGGCTGTGAGTCGCAGGGAGAAGCCTCGGGAGTGGCCAGCGTCCTCTGACTCAGAAGACTTGCGTTTATATAATGAGTGGAAATGACGTTTTAGCTGGCGGGAAATTCACTTAGGGAGAAGGGTCACACTCTGTCCGTGCTAAGCAAATAAATGTGCCTGCCATTGTCTCCAGACAAGACATAGCAATATTTAATGTCTGTGAAAAGCAAACATTAAATTACTAAGATCTCAAGGAGGTCCAATAACAATATAGGGCATCGTAAATAAAGTCCCAGGGGCGTGCTGTCTCAGAGGCACACCCCCCACAACAGTGCTGTAGGCATGGACTGCAAAACTGTTTTGTGCCCGAATAAGCTCATCTATTAAATCTACTTTCCACGGACTTCTAAAAGTAGCCTGCATGTGAAATCTAATTTGTTGATCTCTTTCTGTTGGGTTTCCAATCCAAAAGTTGTTGGAAAAATGTAAAATATAAATACTTTCATTAAACAAAATTAAGGATAATAACTTACTATCAAAACCACTCTGCGGCCTACATCAGTAGCCGAACATGTTACGTGTGTGTCCAAGGAAGGCTATTCTGAACTTTGTAACTTTAGGGGTAAACAAGTTGTAGCTATGTTTTAAAAATTGCTTTTGTCTCCTCTCTTGATGGAGACCTTAGCTAACCATGAGCAGAGAAGTCCCGCAGGCAGAGGTCTCCCTGTGCAGGCACCTCTCTTCTGACCTCTGCTTTGGAAATGTTCATTCGCAGGTTCTCTTTTTAGGGTTTCCCATAGGGCAGAGTGCTGGGTAGTGGTGAAGAACACAGCCTTAGGGCCAGATTAATTAATGGAAACCTTTATGGGGTACCGGCCATGTGCTCAGTGCAGAGACAGTGGTTAGCAAGATAGACAGGGTCCTTTCCCCATGGGTGCTTCAGTCCAGAGAGGGAGACAGACAGGGATAACAAGTAAATATCAGAACTTCCAATAGGAGCCACAGCTAAGGAAAAAAATGAAGAGTGGTCAGGGAGGGTGACACGGAGATGTTTGGGGGCTGAATGATGAGGAGTGACTAAGCGACAATCTGGGGAAAACCGTGATAAGGAGAACACAGCAGGTGTCACGGCCCAGGGGTAGGGGTGACAGTGTGTCAGGGAACACGAGGAGCAGGGGGAGACAGAAGAGGGAGCCGGAGGGTGGCTTCGGTGAAGAGCTGAGGTTTATGCTAAGGGTGGAGAGAATCTGTTGGAAGCTTTAGGCAGGAGACAGACACAATCTGATCCACGTTTTAAAGGTGACCGTGTGAGCAGTGTGGGAGAGAAGAGGGCGGGGGGTGGGGGGAGATGTAGTAGGCAGGGCAGGCAGGCGGCTTCTCACCACCTGGAAACAGCAGGTCCCACAGCCCAGCAACAGCGAGCTGCTAAGACGCATAAGGGGAAAATACAGCCCCCAGCACCAGCCATGGCTTAGACATTAGGGTGAGCCAAGGCCAGGGATTGAGGTTTTCTGGGCTTCGGCCTGAGCACTTGGTTAGAAAGTTGGTGATGGAAGCACAAGGAGCAGGTGCACCTGCTAGAACAGGGCCCTTGTGTAGGAGGGCAGCCCTCCCTGCCTCAGGTGGGCACCGAGGACCTAGCCACCAAACAGGACACACGCTGACGCCGGGGGACCCCCAGACAAGCAGGTGGGTGGATGCTCATCTAATTGTTCCAGTTTTAGTCAACGAAGTAAAATCACTTGTGACAATTCCAGAGACCTGACTCCACAGTCCTGAATGGTGGGAAAGCAAGTTTGCCAGAAAGCAGAAGGAGGGCTGGGCATCCCAGGCAGAGCAGCCAGCACTGTGGTCAGGGTCCAAGTGAGACCACAGAGCACGCGGTGGGGGAGTGTTCTAGGAAATTCTGGAGGAGTCAGCACGGAGTTGGGCTGTGCTGGACTAAGGGTCTCCATGGTGGGTGCACAGGAGAGTGGGACCAAGAGGAGCAGGCAGTGAGGACATCGGGCAGATGGGGACCATGAGAACGCAGTAGGTCAGTGCACTGCGGGATCCTGCGGGCTGAGCATTGTCAGGGTTGGGCACTGAATAAGTGAGGGAAAAATGTAGAGAATTATCCTCCAAGTGAGGTGCTGAAAGCTTTGATTTTTAAAGAAGAGGCAGGTGCGGGTGACGACAAGGTCAGGAAACACTTCCACCTCAGGGCCTGCATGACATGCAACTTGGGGGCTTTCAGAGGGAAATGATGAGAGGAGGTGTTAACTTAGAGAGGTGCCGTTCCTCTGAGCGTGTGGAGACCATATTGGTCTCGGAGTGTGGAGAGGGTGTTGGTGTGATTGTGTAGAGATGTGGGTCTGAGTGTGCAGACACTGAGGCTCTGGCTGTATGTGGATGACGTCAGTCTAGGTGTGCAGAGACGCTGTTGGTCTGGCTGTGGAGAGAATGTTGTTGCTCATCTGAGTGTGTGTGGCTGCTGTTGGTTGGCTGTTTTAAGCTCTCCCTGGAGGTCAGATTAGGGCTTGGTGGAGCCCAAGGCACCTTCAGATCCCGGATGACCTGAGGAGGGAGAGGGGAGGGAGAGGGGAGGGAGTCGCCCCATCTCCCTGAGGAAGCAAGTGGGAAATCAGGTCTCACTGGAGGTGCTCTGCAGAATGTGTCAGCAGCACGCGGGGAGAACGCTGTGCCTCAGCTGGGAAAGAATGGGATCAAGAGGAGCTCACGCCGCTCTCCGAGGCCTCTGCCCCGCCCCACTTGGAGGCCAGGCTGGGGGAGGACGGTTCCAGATCCAGGGAGAACCCCGCTCGACAACTGACCTCCGCAATCCCAGGCAAGACGTTTCTGTGTCTCCTTTCCTTACCTGGGAAAAGGAAGTGAAAACACTATTGCTTCAAAAACTTGTTACAGTCAACTGAAGCATTAGGTTCAACACCTGACACATTTTTAGGCACATAGAAATCACACAAAAGGGTAATTATTGTTTTTTAACAATCTAATCCTCGCCAGCGCCGTGGCTCACTAGGCTAATCCTCCGCCTTGTGGTGCCGGCACCCTGGGTTCTAGTCCCGGTTGGGGGCCGGATTTTGTCCCGGTTGCCCCTCTTCCAGGCCAGCTCTCTGCTGTGGCCAGGGAGTGCAGTGGAGGATGGCCCGGGTGCTTGGGCCCTGAACCCCATGGGGACCAGGATAAGTACCTGGCTCCTGCTATCGGATCAGCGCGGTGCTCTGGCCGCAGCAGCCATTGGAGGGTGAACCAATGGCAAAAGGAAGACCTTTATCTCTGTCTCTCTCTCTCACTGTCCACTCTGCCTGTCAAAAAAAATAAAAATAATAAAATAAAATTTAAAAACAATCTAATCCTCACAATGCAGATAAATCATGTCTCTACTTCATGCTGTCTCATTACTTTTCAAAAAGCAATGCTGATGTTCCAAGGAAATTGCCAAGTGAAGGAGGACCCTGTTGAGAAGAGCATCTGCTAGTGTCAAGGGCATTGACTGAACGCTGGCTCGCGTCCGAGAACGGCTTAGTGTCCTCCAAGTAACAGTGTGGGTGCTCAAGCCACTCTCCAGCACGTGGGTGACGTGGGTGCGTGTGAGTGTGAGTGCGGAAGCTGCAGAGATCCTGGGGACCTGGGAGTCCTGGTCACCAGCAGGTGTCATCCACTCCAGCACTCCCACATCAGCTCCTTCTCTGTTCTCAGAGTCAACTCCATTTCGTTTAAATAGAAAGCTTCCACCAGCTAAGGACATGAACTATTTTATATAGCCCAGGCCTGCGGAACATGGCTGATCACGACTCTTTTTTGTCACGTTTCTATCTCCTTTCTGAGTCATCGTATCCATCTTTGAGGGGATGCAATGCTCTGATTTTGCTGCATTAGTGCAGTCT